ATATATATATATATATATTCAGACACCGCAGTGTACCGGTAGACCTTGTAGGGCCCTACGTTACCTTTATTGCCTCAGTCTTAGCCTTCTACCTAAAGGAATCCTACTACGGGTGCGTTTGATAATGTGGGTACTGATTGCCTGCTGCTGTAGCTATATTTGGAGTATAAATACTCCTGCTGCTGCTTGTATGTGCATTTGTTTTTCTCTGTTTGTGTAACCAATGTTCTGTGTGTATTTTCCAGCTATGTGGACGTGGCCAAGGCCACAGGAGTGCCCTGTCGCTGTTTTCTCTTCTCAGCCTCTCTGGAGCAAGCCAAACACAACAACAGAGTATGACTCACTTCCCCACACTGTCACTCTTTTATCTCATTTTGTTTTATCCTGGCTGGTAAGTGTTTTTTTAACGCGTTATTGTTGTTCCCAGTTCCGTGAGATGACTCCGTCAGACAAAAAACACGCCAAGGTCAATGACATGGTTTTCCACAGCTACAAGTAAGAAAGAATAATCTTTCTTCTCACACTTACTGTTTATACAACATATTTGTGTAACGTATGCACAGAGTTTTTTTTTTTAATTCTAGGAATAAAAACACTTATTAGTAATAGCTCTGCTACTGACCACTCTAATCAGGCTGTCTCTCTGGACAGGAAACACTTCGTGGCCCCTGCTCTCTCCGAGGGATTCTCCGAGATCCTCCAGATCCATTTTGTCCCAAAATTCAAAGACAGCCAATCAGAAACTCTGTTCCGGCAGTTTTCTGAGGGCTGATCGGACAGCTGACCTTTGACTTTCACATTCTCACTGACACTGACTGGACAGCAACAGTCATAGACAAACACATGAAGTTTGTCAGTAGATGGCGACATGTTTTTCTATTTCAGCTGCCTGACATCTGTGGTTATATGGCTTAACTCTTACATGTACACTGTATGGCTAATGGCCTGCTGAAGACTAATGATGTTAACTCGATTTGCAGCACTGAATCAGGTCCTTCCATTCAAGCCTTGTTCTATCAAACAATTAAACGTCAGTGCTGAACATACACAGATATGTTTCCATTGAATATGTGGCTATGGAACTGATTATGCATGTGTTGTACATTGTGAGTTGAGAAAGAATACAATGTAAAAGCAACAAGAATTACATTTTTATGTTGTGTATGATTTTGTGAACAGAGAATGAGTTTACAGCACCAAAGCAATAAAAATCTATTCTATTCTGTTTGACAAATAAAGCCTCTGAAAGCGCTACTGAATTCTGCATTGTGTTATTATGGCTTCATCCAAATAGATCTCAGTTGTCTGATTATATTATAGATGTTCTCAGTTGACCTCAGGCAGGAACTGGATCTCCTCACCCAGATGCTGTTTCAGCCACGGCATTATCTTGAACAGGTCGATGTAGAAGTCTCGAGCATCAGGAGGCGGATTGTCACTGCTGTACCTTCCCCGAGCTGTGTTCTGTGGTTTGCATACATCCATGATGCCCCAGCTCAGTACTCCCACCTTGGAGGAAAAAGCAGGAGAAAAATGTCCACGTGACACTGACTGCACTGTGTGTAATGAGTTTTTTTTTTGTTTTTTTTTTTTCAAGTGAGAAACTAGCTGACCTGAAAGTAGCGCTTCTTTTTTTCCAGAAACAGGGATCCACCAGAATCACCTATACCAAAAAAGAGACAACATGTAACTATAATGTGAATCCCTTGCTGGTCAAACTGCGGTGGCTATGATGCAGTACGTGCAGAATCCAGACCCTGACAGCTGATCGCGTCCCGGTATGCTGAGGATCCGCCGGTACAGAGGAGCCTGTCGGGCACATACTCATCCAGAGTCACATCGGTGGGCTTTGTGAGTGTGAGCCTCGCCTTCTCAACACAGCTAGGCCTCTGCAGACAGCAAAGTAGTTCCAGCTCAACACACTTTTTTTTAAATTTTTTTATATTAAAACAGATTTCCTCCACATTATTGCGTATCAATGTGAAAGCAGCACACAGTCTGAAAATCCAAATCAACTGTCACCTACTTGACTCTGTGTGTGAATATGTGTTTCTTTGCGAATGACTGTTTCACTGCTTTTGTGGATGAAAAAGGCCGCAGTCTCCTTGTGTTGTAGTAGTTCCTCCCCTGTATAGAGGTACATTTTACTGACAATACATGAGAATTTATTTAGGAGTTCTATATTATTAATGCTATGATAACAGGGAAAAATATGGAAATAGCAATAAAATGAATGCGTTTGCAGAGGGTAAAGGTCAAAAGGTCACATACTGTGCTGCTGACAGGTAGAGTTGACTTTCTTAATGGCTCGGCTGGCTGGCACAGTACATGGCAAGCAGATCGGTCTGTTGTATGACATACACACACTCAACACTGAAACTCAGGAGCATCTATTTTAAGTTTTTGTTATCTAAGCTACAGAAGGGTTCTGTGACAAAACAAATGTCAGTTTTTTTTTTAAGGCTTCTAATTGAATAAAATCAGTTCCTTTTAAGTTCAGCTCTTATGTAGAGTTAAGCTTACTTTCTTTAGGCTGTCTTACCTGGCTTTCCAGGAGAGCGGGATACTCTGGTTCATCTCTACCAGAGCGACATCATAGTCATAGAACTCAGATACGTTTCTGTGTTTGAGTGCCCTGGTGTTGTACCTGGGGTGCATTATCACCCTCTTTGAAATCCCAACGCCCTCACCTTGGAAAATAAAGAAGCTGCGTGTTATTTCAACATAAAACTGTTTCAAGTCAACAAGATGGTTCATGGAAACAACTAATCTTGTTCTTTCTGCCTGTTTGCTACAAGTACAGTAGCTAATTGAATCAAGTAAGCAGGGTGGTAGAGGGCCACAAGTTAGAGTTGAACCCATGGCGGCTGCAGCAAGGACTCAGCCTTGGTACATGGGGCACCAGCTCTACCAGGTGAGCTACCAGTTTCGTTTTCTCCCAAAAAATGTCAGTACTGACACTGACCGTGTGTTAAATCCACTCTCTGTGGGAGATCATCAGTGCTCGCCTTGGCGAAACAGTGAGCAGCTGTCAGCACCCAGTTCTGGCCCACAATAGATCCAAAACATGACATAGACTGAAAGGGAGGAAAGTGTCAATGTGTAAAATTCCACTCTAAAATCTCAAAGTATAATATATAAAATGTCAGTTGTAGGGAAAAACAATTCTCTGTTGTGATCTTAGGGATTGACTGAGCAAAGCTCTAACCGGCGTTTTCACAGTGACATGCCAGGGTTTGTTGTAGACATTTTTCTCATCCTCCCCACTTTCCTTGGAGATGTCTTCCTGAGCTACCCCACACATCGTCACACTCTTGTCACCTGTGTTATGAAACATGATTTTAATGGCTAATTAAAATGTAGAATTTTTATTAAGCAACATTGCGTCGGTTCATATTTTTGTACAGATTCATGTTGGAAAATCCTGCCATTCTAAAAAAACAAACAAACACAAGTTGTCATTTTTCCCAAGTGTTTTATATTCTAAAAATGACATTTTCTGCTGACAAATGGACAGCTTAAATCATAAAACACAGTGCAGTATAGTCGAGAATGATCTACTTACTAATGATGCTGTTGAACATGGATCCCAGTGTTTGGAAGTCTTTCATAATGAAGACGTGTCTCTCACCACGTTTCTTTGACGCTAAGGAGTTCAACTGATCTTTCTTCACTTGCTCCCCAATACCAAATACATAGACATCTGCAAACACACACATAAGTGTACATACATAGGAAACCATTGCAATACACATTAAACACATAAAACCAACTTTGCTTTGGATGCTTGATTTATGATAGCTTGTAATTGTGGTGATGCTGGAGCTGTTGCACTCAGTGAAAGTCATTCATACGCGTTAGTAGAGAATGTATATATGGACTGTATTTTTTTCATCATGATACCCAGCATTGTCTCATCTGTGTGATCTTGGGATGTGACTTGGTAGCCAAGCAGATTCCTGATCCGGGCCAGGGCAATCTGAGGCTTGGTTCCTGTGTTGGAGAAACCTGCAGGCAGAAAGACATACAGGGGGCATAAAAGATAATGTTCCCTTTTCCAGTGAGCAGGAAATGGTCAACAGAGTTTGTGAGACACTTCCTGTGTCGTTACCGTCGGTTTCTATGATGATGATGTTCTGAGTCTCATTAAAATGGTACTTGGCACTGTCTTGCTTAAAGAAGCTGATCATCTCACTGACACGGAACAGGGCGGCATGCAGGTTGGTGCCGGTCTTACTGCCATGGCCTGCAAAAAATGAATGAAAATAAATTGATAAAAATGTTATGGTTGTACTGTACTGTACTGATTTAGGCATACTTAAAGGCACCACACAGCAAGGAGATAAAAAGATGGTCATTAAATGAATGAATACTGTGAAGGAAAAACAAGTAGGGTCCTACTATGGTAGTCAAATTCCATCAGGCGCCATATGACATCCTCGGTGCTACCACTTATCTCGAAGTCTGTGATGCTTACAATGTCTATAGCCGTGCTGGCAAATGACAACACATGGAACCTCAGCTGCACCTCGTAGCTGTCCAACTAGAAGCAAAATGAAAAGGACATGCAGGTTTCAGATCCACTGAGATAGAATGTGAATAAATCTTTCTTTGGGTCTTTTGGCACGGACCTTTGTGATAAGAGCAATGGTGGCGTTCCTGGATTTATTAAAGTCCCGCGTATTGATGCTTCCTGATGTGTCCAGTAAAATGTAGACATTCATGCGACTACCTTCAGCCACACGGAAGGTTCGGCCAAAGGACACCCTTGTACCTTACACACACAAAGACACACACACAAAGTGCTTTATATGATAATACAGTTGACTTCAGCTACTTACTTGCAATTTTGTTTGTGTTGCAATGCTGATATGTTGATGACAATTAAAGGTTATACACACTTTTCTTTTTGGAGTCTGGTGAGACTACATCCATGACTCCTGCAAGTGACCCCGCCATGGCTGCTGCCACATTGCTGGGGGAGTCAAAGGTATTTGGGCCTGCAGTAAAGCACAAAAATATCATGCATGGATGTTTCATCATAATATGATAGTTCATTGTGTTGGTCTGGTGCTGCTTTGATTGCCCACTTGCTTGCTTTAGGTCTAAAAAATGAATCTTTGATTGTTTTAAAGAAAAAGCTGTCACTCTGAACCTTGACACAGTGGCACTGAACCACTCCACTCCCGGTTCTCCAGGCAAACCCTTTCAGCCGACCCGAGCAGATCCAGACCAGCCTGACAACGATAGTTGACCTTCTCTCCTGTACGAAACCGGCGTGCTGACCTCTGGGCCCCTGGTGGGATCCCTGGGTCATTACAGTCGTCAGCTGCATTTAAAGATGGGAGGAAATACATAAAGATCTTTTTTAATTTTATTTTGTGCTTATATAGAAATCTTCAGACTATATCTTTATTTGCAAAAGATAATTATGTAGTAATCTGAAATGATGCACAAAGGGCCTTTTAAGACATCAAAAAGTCACTGTAAGCTTGAAACACTAAATAGTAAAGTTAAAGTAAAAAAAGTAAATGCAACATTTTTTCAGTTACATTTTTTATGTCACAGTAACCACAGTAAACGACCATATATGATTAAAATCTGTTAATAGAGATAATTTATATGCATTCATCAAAAGCTGCTTCACAGTGTAAATCTCAGTAAGTGTGAGCTCAGTTCATGCTCACTCCACCACAGGTTCTGACGCAGCAGGTGAGCTGGGCTCAGGCTCACTTAATCTCTATTGCGCTGATGTACAAAGTAAAGATATAAACCATGTATTGTATATAGTTTAAGCATGCATGATTTATGCTTTATCATAAACAAAGTTTGTAATGTCTGTTTTCACCATGGTTGTCACAAACAGGAGTGGTTCCTGTCCACTCCCCAGAGAGGGTGCAGTTCCTCTGGGCTGAGCCATACAGGGTGAACCCTTCCTGGCAGGAGAAGCTCTGCGTCTCCCCGACACGGAGCCACTGGTCCCTGGGCCAGAGGTCACCGTGATCCAGCTGGATCTGAGCTGGACACAACACATCTGGGAGCCAGAGAGAGAGATGGACGGACATTAAAGAGGATAAGGAGAAGAGGACGCAGGTAAGAATGGAAGGATCACAGAAAGAGTTGCTTTGAGGGAAAAACTCAAATATGATCTATTTGTGTACATATGACATTGAATGCATCACCATCCAAAAAATTACCTTTGCATGTGGCCCGCGACACCGGTCTGCCATTGGATAATCTCATGGCCGACCACTCCCCATCATCACCGCAGAGCCTGAAGCTGACCGGGGAAGGGTACTTCCCCAGGCTGCAGTGATAGGTCAGCACACTGCCCTCCAGCCCTCCCTGTAGAGGAAACACACGATCGCTTTTGGAGCTAAATTAGGCAACATTAAACTTTCCAGTAAAGAGATGCTTGATTGGTTTCACTTTCCAGACCTTCTAGTTCCTTTTTATCATGATCAGAAAATGGCTCTTCTAATTCAGTGCTGTCCTTTACTTTAACTTGCATGATTCACACTTTTTACCATCCTCCATTTTGCCTATTTTCTGTCCCTGTACGCCTGGCTGGTTGAGTACTTTGTAACCACTGTTTAAGTCGTGTTTTACATTTCTAATATTAGTGTGAAGTTCAAATTGTACTATTATATAGAAATTCGCTTCGAAGACGGGTTACATCAGGACAACAGAGCTGAGAAAATGCACATATTGCATTATTATACTAACCTACCTAACACTCTCATCCTGAGTGATGTAAATTAAAAATGAAGGAGTGCAGAAGAGCTGCAACTAACTTCCCGATCATTAGATTATTGTGTGGTCTTTTAAACAGCAAAAAAAAAACAATCCATTGCAAATTTACAGTCCATGTCCTTACTTTGGAGAAGCTTGAAGGAGACCATGTTTAAAATGACATTTTCTGTCGATCGATTAATTGATTGTCTATTTTTTACCCGTGAGTAGGTGACATGTCCGCCTTTGATGCTCTCTGTGGTTGAGCAGTTTAGAGGCTGTGGGTCGTCGTATGTTTCATCCTCATCGTTATACTCATAGTCCTTCAGGGACACTGGAGCACAGACAGTAAAAATGTTGGTGATAAACATGCATCCACAAGCAAAAGGGACAGGCTACACAGACAAATGCATCAGCATTGCCACATGGTAGGGATCCATATACTCAAATGCACAATAAGTGCAGCACAAAATTGAAATGCTCACCCTCCTGGACACAGATGAAGAGAAGGATCCATAGTATGGGCTTGACATACATGACCGGACTCTGTATCAGTGGTGTTTGTGTCTTTGAGTGACAGAAACCACAGCGAGAGTGTCTGTATCGACCTGAAGTCAACTGCTTTATTTGATGACTGATTACCCATTAACACAGCAGCACCAAACAGGGAAGGAGGGATTGAGCAATTTAGGACAGAACACAGATTTGAGCTCTTACTTTCATTTTTCGTTGCACTCATTTTATCTGTTTCTCTTGTTTTAGGATTCTGTAAAGTCTTTGGATATATTTTTAATTTACTAATTCATTTAAAGCCTGAGTGGCCTCATTAAAGTTGTTCCAAAGCTTTAAAATAAAAATCTGTTTGGACACTCAACTGCAATGTCATAAGCCAGCTTTGGACAACTAATGCAATTCAAATCTTCCAATCTCTTTAGCACTCCTTGCTATTATACACCATTCCCAAACCAACACTGTTGTTGTTTGGATGTATAATTACCCAGAATCATTGCTAAATGCCTCAGACTGCAGTGTCTCTGTGCCAGTGTTTGTGCACCTGCTCGCTTAGGTTTGGGCATGCAGGCGTGCCTGTGAATAAAACATTTTAGCAGCTTAAAAGATCATTATGAGGATTATGGAGATTTAACAGGGACCCCCACCTCTAGCTCCAACCTCACCTCTTCTCCCCTTCCCTGTCCTCCCTCCCTCCCTCCTCCTCCTAGGGGCTCAGTCCTCTCAGCTGACTCGGCTTTGTTCAGCACTGTGAAGGAGTTTCTAAAACTCTTTTGTAACCACTCACACACCATCAAAAAACAAGAGGTTGATGCTGCTAAAACAGACAGAAGTAGTAGAAGAGTGGCAGAAAGGATGGATATTTTGATCATTTGATTCTTTTTATTTTTGAAAATTCCTTGCTGTGTTATTTATTTCATTTTTTATCTGGATTGCGTTGATGGATGTCCAACAAAGGGCTCTGCTGTGCTGGAGGAGCGAAGGCCGTGAGCGTACTACGCCTCAGTGGAAGTTTACCGTTGGAGCAAAAAGTGAACAATGTTAAGAAAACCCAGGAAAATACTTTTAACGTTCCCTCATGTAGAAACAGCTCTTTTCACAATGTCACCACTGATGTATTTATCACAATGTCAGGCTCTTTAAGAAGAGGAGCACTGGGAGAGTGACAGCGGACTAAAGATGTCTGACCTCAGCCAAGTTGCGGTGTATTCAGACTCTTCAGATATTTATAAGGTGAGTGAAGATGATGAGAAGGATGATGGTGGCGCTTTATTGAGGGAAACATCAGACAGTTATTGAGACATTTTGCAGGAGATTGGTCAGCACTTTCATTGTAAATTGGACACTTTTTGGGTCCAATATCTGGATTTATATATATCTGACATGAAGTTAAAGGTTCTTCCTCTTGACTGGGCATTGGTTTTTACCTCTAAACATGTTTGTACTTAATTTAAAGCTTTGTGGGCCTGCTATGCCAGTTCTATTTGTGTAAAGTTTACAGTTGTGGTCTTGCTTTGTGCAGTTTTAGCTGTGTCAATTGGAGCAGGTGTTACTTTCAGGCTGGAAACCTACACTTGTCTCTCATTTGAGCATTATCAGTGTAAATGTAACAGTACTGTATGGGTTAGTAGCAATTACATGATGATAGCATATTGGATTTTCTTCAATCACTTGCTTTAAAGCAGCTATATTTTTACAACAACAATCTATCAAATAACAATGTGAAAACAATGTGACAATGTGACAGGGTTGCTTGTAGTGACATCTACGGAGAGCTATCACCTGAATCTGCAGCTCCCCTCAGCTTTAAGGAGCTTTATAACAAGTTTAACCTATTTGTTGAGAATTGTTAGAGACCAAAAACAGAGCTTAGAGAGTGAATATTTGACACAAACACGGCTGCAAAATATTTCTAATGTTGCTCTGTAACTGCTGGATGTGTGAATAAGCATCTGTTGGCTAACACCTTTGTTGAATCAACTTAAAAGGTGATGATATTTCAGTGTTACTTGTTTTTGCTGCCCTCATGTTATTGCAAGTGACGTGACTAAGAGTGGGTGGAATGGGACCATAGATAGTAATTATACAGCAACATCTATCTAAAGTTTTCTAACATAAGCTAACAGTAGCGACCACAAGCTACTGGCAACACCAGACCATGTGCAGCTGGCCCTGAGTATGTTTTATTGCCTATGAATTCAACTTTTTGTTTAAAAAAAAAAGAATAATCGCTTGGAAATTAAGACTTGTTTTGTCTAACAATGTAATGTACGTTTCATTTCCACTTCTTTCTGTTCTGCTTTCCGCAGAATGTGTTCTGCAACCCTGCCTTCGAGCTGGAGGGGGAGCGAGAGGAGAGGGTGGAGGGATTCAGGACATCCTCATCCACTCCTGAACCAATCAAACCACCAGCGGCTAGTGAGTCAACCAATCAGCTTGCTGCTTTCTGTGACTAACCTTGAATTGTATTAGACTGTGTATGTGTATTGGATTAGTAATATTATTGCATCACTTAAACTCTTCTGGTTTTAAGAAAGCCTGTATTAAAAACTGGCGGTACCAGGCAGGGAGTCTCTAATTAAAGACACCACCAAGTTGCATTGTGGGTAAATGTAGGGTCCTGTGTTTTTGGTGTTTGAGCAGGTCTAAATGTATCTTGGCTTAGGCTGCTTTGATTTTGAGAATTATTTTTACAATCAGTCCAACAACTTTATGGAAGGGGAATATACATCCCTAGGGTACTCCATTAACATAAAAAACAGTACCTTACATTTATCAGGGTAATTACATTTTAGTTAACTAAAATGGAAACATGATCAAATTACAAACCAAAACCAACCAGAAAGTTAAAATCATGTGTATGAACTTTGGTAGCAATAAAGATCTCCTCTTTCCTGTCACATACCCACATGTTTATATGTGTGTGTGTGCGTGTGTGTGTGTGTGTGTCATTTAGACCTAGGCTGGGGTCTATTTGGGGTGTGTGCGATGCGTCTGCGGGGCCCGGGTTGTGGCTGGGGGGTGGTGGCGGTCTCTGCTGCTGTCCTGCTCCTGTTAGCAGCTCTCGGACTGGCGCTGGCCCTCATCCTCACACGTGAGTCACTGCCGTGTCTCAGATCGATCATCACAATGACAAAGAAACACCTGAAACCAGATTTAAAGGGCTTATTACAAATTATATATTCAGATTCCATACGTATAGCTGTTTGGCCTCTTCTTTGATCAGTGCCCCGGTCATGCTTGCATTCTGTGTCTGTTTTTGGTCCATGATTTAGAGATAAAAGGCCAGGCAGTGGAGGATCAGTTGTTGCCCACCAGCCCTCCAGATGTGCTGAGTGTAGGAGATGCAGCATCCCCAACTGTACCCACAATCTCTCCCAACAGAAGTCAGCTGGACAGCACAGCCCCACCACAACCCGCTATGACCCCATCATCTGAAACACGTAAGAGATTCAAACAAAATGGCCTTTTAAATTCTAATTTAATATTAAAAATGTGCAAAACATCTCCTCTTTATCTGGACGCCCTTCCCTTTCTATTTTTATGCAACTGAAACAAGGTATTCCTTTCTGTCGCTCAGGTTGTGGAGGGGTTTTGACTGACTCAGAGGGTAGTTTCAGTTCTCCAAACCACCCCGGGTCCTACCCCCCCAACTTGCTGTGTGTGTGGGTGATCCGAGTCCTTCCCCCCTCCCTGGTCCAGATCCATGTTTCCTCTCTGGCTGTGGAGGGGCCATCTCCCTGTCCATTTGACTGGCTTGAGGTGCAGGAGCAGATAGAGCAGAGCTCTGTGGTCACCAGGTTAGTCAGACCCGGGCTATCTCCACCAATCAGACACGTTCAGTGCTGTTAACAGTTTCCACTCCAGGCACAAGAGCGTAGTCAGGTGTTTTTTCATACTACAATGCCAACTGCTCTCTTTTAAAAGCTTGTGCTTCTGTTGCAAGAGGACTTTGAACTATGCACTCTACATTTTTGTTTGCTTGTAGGTTTCTCTGTTGCTCTTAAGCCTGGGTCACACTACAAGATCTCTGTTCAGTTCACACTAAGCAACTTTCAGTCTTGTAATTTGGAGTCTTGTTGTGGTTTTTACACTACGTGACTGATCAGCAACAGGAGGACACTTACAACAAGATCTTTCACAGCCAGTCTCCAAACTATGTTTCATCAGTAGTCATTAATAACACCATGAATAACAAACACATCATGTTTAATTATGAAGTTTTAAGCTAATAATTAGTCAGCATCAGTAATCAATACTTCTATTATTAAACCTTTAATCAAATGAATAACTAACAGCAGTCAACGTCAGACAACATTATCATACTTATGTTACCTTGTGTTTGTTCACCTGAAAGCTCCCTGCACCAAGCTCCCTTTAAGAAATATGACATTTTAACAAACAATAACTAACAATTCCTAATTTGTCTGTAAAAACATGTTAATCTATGAACTAAAGGCTTTTATTTGTTGAAATCCTTCTTCTCAATTCGGCATCAATATAATCCATAAATACACTGTCACTATGGAGAAGAGTAACAAAAACATTGTTAATGTTATAAATTTCTACTCTTTGTAGTGTTTGTTGAATTTAGCTACTCAAGCAGAGACAAAGTATAGATGTTTGTTCTGGCAAATACACATCTGAGTGCATGAGACTCAAACAAACCTGTATGTCATTATGTGCAACTATCTTGTGAAAGTAACATTTCTATACTATATGTTCTCCCTCTCGGAACAATTACTAGAGTTCATGTCATTACTTTAAATTGTTGGTAGATGGCACTACAGGTCTGTGCATAATTGGAGAGTATTTCTGGGTACTAAATGCTTCTTGGAAAAATCTAAATACATGTACAAACTTTTTTGCTAGCTTGCATTCTTGGAAAGTGTCATAACATGATTCATGAAGTTCTGAAAATGTTACATAACTTGCCCACAAATCCTATGAAGAATTTACTGTGCAAAGTTCAGACTCAAGTAGCAACTCCAAAGCTGTAATATGGAGGGAAAAAAACAGTAATTCAAGTGAAAGGTTGAGATTATTTTAAAGGTCTCTCCTTCTCTCCTGCAGGTTCTGTGGTAACGTGGCGCCACCAACAGTCAACACAAACAGCAGCACAGTGTGGGTCACCTTCCACTCTGATGGCAGCATCGCAGGCAGTGGCTTCACTGCACAGTACAGGACCATTCTGCCTGGACAAAGTCAGTAGTGTGTGTGTGTGTGTATGTGCGTGTGTGCATCTGCAAATACATGTACTCTTGTGCTCATGCCCATTTGCATTCATGTGCATCTGTGCGTGTATCTACTGTGTGTTTTCTCAGAGAGCTGCTCCAGAGACGAGTTTATGTGTGACAGTGGTCGCTGTCTGCTGCCTGTGTCTATTTGCAACGGTCATCCAAACTGCCACGACCAAACAGATGAGGCAAACTGCAGCCATAAACACAAAGGTCAGAGCACCCAGGCAAAGCTGAAAATAGAAACATAAGTTAAACACACTTAAATAGGGGCCAAGGGACACAACAGTGAACTTATTGCCACTCTTTTTGCACAGAATGTGGTGGGCTGAAGACCGGACAGTATGGTTATCTGTCAAGTCCAAACCACCCCAGGCCTTATCCTCACCAGCAGGTACATTTTCAACCACCTTAGACTGCCAAACACACTCCAAACTAGCTGTTACAGGGCTGTGAAACTTGTGTTTCTCCCACCAGTTGTGCGTATGGTATATATCCGTTGAGGAAGGTCACATCATAACACTGAGCTTCAGGAACTTCAGCCTGGAGACTCAGGATGTGTGTACGTTTGACTACGTGGAAGTGCACGACAGCGTCGACACCAGAGCTGGAAGAGTGCTGGGAAGGTGAGATGCACCACAGCCTTGATCTTTTATTTTGCTTATGTCAGATGTTGGATATAAATTTACAGAAACTGAAGTTTCTTTTCTTTGTTCTTTAAATGCTGTATGCTGCTGTTGTTGTTGCTATTGTTATATTTTATTCCCATTTATCACTGTCTGTAATGTCACTATTGTTTTTGTTTTTGCAAAAAAAAATGAATGAATGAAAATAAAGACAAATCCTGTATGTTGAGGGTAAATGTGTCCGCCATAATGTGAGTTATATAACCACAATGTTCTAAAGCAGCTTTTGTTCTCTCTCTCTCTCTCTCTCTGTCTCAGGTTTTGTGGCACCACCTTCCCCCCAGACCTGACCTCTTCTGGCCCCCACATGACTGTGCTGTTTGTGGCTGATGAGGGAGTGGCCGACAGCGGCTTTAATGCAACATACCAGGCTGTGTCTATACTGGACAGTGAGTTCTTGCTTTTGTACAGCTAACTGATATTTAACCAAAGTGATGCTGGTGTCTCTACTAGTTCCCTAGCCTCTGCCCCTTGTTCCTTTCCATATTTTCTCCTTTCTTACCTAATCTTACCTCTTTTTGACCATCTTTCCTTTCTTCTCTGACCTACATTTACCCTTCAGAAATTGGCAGTTTATGACAGATGCTTTGTTAAAGTCCTTCAAAGGTTCAAATTATTTCTTCTTACAGTACTTTCTTCCTTTCCCTATGCCTCTTCCTTTAGTCTTCACATTGTCAATTTTAGCTTTCGATAACCCTCTCCTGAGCCTTTTCTTCTTTATTTAAAGGGACATGTGGCCCCAGCCAGTTTGCCTGCGGTACAGGAGAGTGTCTTCAGCAGCAGTTGTTGTGTGATGGTTGGAACGACTGTCCTGATGGAGCAGATGAACAGGGATGTGGCAACTCCACCTACCCTCCCTTCAGTGAGTCCCTGTTATCTCTGACCCCGATCTGAGTCCCGCTAGAGAGTCACAGATATGATAGTTTTTGTTTCCAGAGCCAGAAATCCCTCCTAAAATACAAAAACAAACCCTACCACAATAAAAGTTTGCAGGACAGAGATGATGTGTCACTACCACGTACAAACACCCCCACACCCCCAAGAAATCTTGATTGACCTTCAATTATATCATAATTTCATTTGTGTAATAGCAAAAGTCCTGGTTCTCTGAATGCCAAACATTAGACTTCAGAAGTGTAAAATAAGAACAGGAATTATTTATTTTCTCTGTGCCTTCAGCTTCATCCTGTGAGTTGATAGAGGTAGAGATGTGTCAAGGCCTCAGCTACAACCTCACCTCATTCCCGAACATCTGGCTGTCCATTGCTGATCAGAGAGAAGCTGCGACACTCCTGCGACAGTACCGGGTAAAAGCCACCTTCATAACTAAAATCATCTAGAGTTTGTTGTTGTTCTTTTAAATACTTTATTGCAATGTCAGTTTGTTTACTTCAGTCCATTGCACAGTTTTAGATTTTTCAATTAATAAATAGCTGACAATAATTTAGAGACCTAAACCAAAAACAAACAAACAAAACAAAAGGGAGGGATGGGAGGAGGTGTTGGGGATATTTTCTATTGTTGATTTTTATGTTTTTGTCATCTGCTTCATGGCCATCACAGGCATAATGTTAAAGAGATGTACATCAGCCAAGTTTATCTTTCCTAGTAAATTAATACCCAAAATATACATATTGTCTTGTTGCTGCTGTGTAATCTTAAGTAATTGGTCGCCTTGGTAGCAAAATGACAGACAAGCAATACATGAACTGACGGCTATAGCTTCTAACAGCTGTACAGCTGTTTCTAGCCAGATATTCACACACACTCGTTCTCCCTGTTTTGTTGTCCAGGTCCTGATGGAGCTAGCGTGCTTCGAGCCCTTACAAAGGCTGGTGTGTGGGATGTTTCTGCCTCAGTGCAGCCCTCAGGGTGGCGTCCTCCAGCCCTGCCGCTCAGTCTGCTCCTCTGCTGAGCAACAATGCAGCCAAGCCCTGGATCTTTTCTCCTTCAGCTGGCCCTTCAACTGCCACCTCCTGCCCGACTCACAGGACCCCATGGAGTGCTCGCTGCCTTGATGCTTCATGCGTCTGAAGTTTCAGTTGTGCTGTTGGGAGCTGAGGATCCTCTCCATCCCAGTCTACTTCTTCAGAAAACATTCCACACCAGATTTGCCGCAGTGTTTGAGGACCGAAAGGCCTTACGGAACTGGAGACTCATTTTCTGGACTCATCAAGAGTTCAAGAGCAGTTTAACTTGTAGCATGCCTGCTGCCTATAAAGCCTGTGGTGCATGCAGAAAATTGTGGCACAGTAGCGATCTTTTAAAGAAAAGCTTTAAAGTACGTAGATGAAAAGAAGTTTTTCAAGTTTGTGTGCGATTCACAGCAGCTAAGCGAAATGAAAGTTTTCAATCTCTCAATAGAAATCAAACTGTTGTAAATTGTCTTTTTGCACTATTTATTGCGTTGTTGTCAATCATGTGACACCTCATCTATGAACAATGAGTGAATACAGAGACGATGCCTTTAAAAACAAACCTTTATTGCACTGTTCAACATCAACACATGATGTTTTTAACAGTCCAGATTGGATCTAGTGTGACATAAAAGGGGCATGATTTGAATCACACTGGAAATTATGAACTCTCCTATCTGATTCACTGAGCCTACATGTTAAATGTAACAAACACAAGACTAATTGGAAACCTGTGGCAACATTATCTCAGTAACTCATTGATTTAACTTGTTAAAACAAATTTAATTAATGACTGGTGCTACAGATTTCCAGACGAATTAAAGAAAGATGTGTAAGCATTTAAAAAATAAAGTAGTCCATAGTGTATATATGTATATACTGACAGGGTCTAATCAGGTATAATAAATACTGGTATACGACTTCCAACACCTGCTCTTTATCAGTGACATGAACACAGCTGACCATCATCTTCATTCACCTGATCCATTCAATAAACATCCTTATACACTAGAGGCTCAGAAAGTGCACAAGTGGAACAATCCTTCTCCTGAGTGTGATACTCCCACAATGAAAGGAAACTACATTCATAAATGAGAGTGAGTGAATGAAAATATTTTGTATCCACTGATACCGATTCCTGACATGACTTTGAGAAACAAAGTTTGATTGCACATTTGTCACAATCAAATCTTTGAGTCATATGATAGCTGTGCTGTAGTACTGTGAGTGTGATTGAGCTGCTAAGGAGGGACGATGAGTTTCAGGGTATGGTCTAGAGCTACGGCTGTCAGGCCCCACACTCGATGCTTCCCGTTCCGAAACACTGGGAGGGTGTATCCGTACTTGTCGCCGGTGCGGAAGTGTGTGTAGCCACGGTTCTGAGGGTTGCACAGGTGGGACAAGGACAGGGTGAAAATTTCCTCCACCTGGGACGGAAACAAAGGAAGTACGGTTTACAACTTTGGTTCTAAATTGAGACCAACAAGTAAAGAGGTGGCTGTAAGCGTTTCTTCATCCATTTATGGCAAATTGTGGGAGTGGACAAGCTTGTGCATGTGCACCCGTTTCCTGACATTTATAAAACAGAATCAGGCATATGTACAGCTTTACAAGTCTCAATCTTTTAAACTTTTTATGCATCTGGCCACAGGTGTATATTTTTTATTTTTATTTTAGCCAAGTATGACTGTGGTGTGACATCGTACACACATTTTTAAAAATCTGCTATATATCTGGAACAATGTACTGACATAAACTGTAAAAACATTACTTGTTAAACACAACCAAACAAAACCAAATAAAACAAATCCTTTCAAGTGGATGTAACAAAACAGGATAAGTGTACCTCTCCAGGGTTTGGTTTGAAGGACAACTCCTCAAGGGGACCGAGGTTAGCGAGCACAGGAGCAATCATCATCCCAGACTGGTGAGGAAGACAAAAGACACAGAGTATTCAAAGTGAGCAAATTTCAAAACGCTCTGAATAGTATTATATAATATGTTTTATTATTATTATAACAAACCTTGCCTTTGCCTTGTTTTAATAATATGTGTCCATTTTAGTGACACAAAACAATAAACTGAGACTTTTTTTATTTATTATGAAGAAAGATTCACCCCTGGCCTAAATTCAAGATGAAGCCAAGTCTGTACAGAGGTGGCCATAAAGAGAGTGTCTGCAGGCCTAAGCATGTCACATTTTAGACTATTGTAGAAACAATTTATTGATCAAGTAGTCAATCAACAGAAAATGAATCAGAAACAATTTTGATACTCAAATAAGTGATGTAGCTATATATGTATGTATAGGGGTTTGGGACTGCTGTTCTGTTGAAACAAACTATTTGACAATGTTACCTTTAAAGAGCATTATGTACTATTTTAATCATTGTTCCTGAACTTTTCTAGACTGAATTAGTAATCAAGAAAACAGGTGTTAGTTGCAATCATATTTAAAGACATTATAACCACTTTTCAAACCTAATGAAAACTAAATATAAAGAATGCAATCAAAATAAATTGATTATCAAAGAAAATGCAGCGTTTCTCCATCATAGAGCCATCGATGGTATACCACCACAGTGTGACAATGCCAGCCATAGATTCATAAAAATAAAAATGTTATCATCTGGTACATGTAGTGAGGACAGCTCATCACATGGCTCCTTAAGACATAACACCGGCACTCACCATGTCCCTGAGAGGCTTCAGGATGCCCCACACTCTCTCTGCTGCCACATTAACACCCAGCTCCTCTCTGGCTTCCCTCAACGCTGTCGCCACCACATCTCTGTCTGACGGATCACTCTTTCCTCCTGCAAAGCTACAAATTGAGTGGAATGAGGACTTTTCTTACAACACTCCTTCTTAAAACCGTGTAGCCTGTTTCTAGCCTGCCACTCACCTGACATCTCCCTTGTGCCTGCCCTTCAGTGTGCTGGAGCGCAGAGTGAAGAGGAACGCCGGATTCCCCTCAACAGAGCAGAGAGAGACCAGGACTGACGCCCATTTCGCCTGCTTCTTTCCCTGGCTCACCCCTTTTCTCCCCTTGTCCACCTCGTAAAGCTTCCAGTTGGGCCCCAGGCTCTGTCGACACCTGCTTTCATTCCCCGGGGACAGACAGTCTGTCCAGGCGTCTGCCACGTGAGGGGCGGCCTGGTGGACAGCTCTTGCGGGGTGAAAAGACGGGCTGGACGGTGGTGGTCTGTTGTGCGTATGTGTCGACAAGCTGAAAGGTTTAACAAAGTGCTGTCTCGGATATAAATTACTTTGAAGAAGGTTACACCGAGTCTTATCGGTGAAACTGAGTGAAGGCTGGCAAACGTCCCAAGGCCTTCTCCAGGGTCGAGGGCGAGTTGTGTTGATTAAACAGTCCCGGTAAGTCACAGCTTTCAGCTTCTGACCTAAATCTTCCACTACAGTGCATTCCCAAGAGTCAGACGTTCGTTTGGCCTTTGCAGAGGCAGAAACCTGAGGGGGGCGACGATGGCTGGGCAAAACGGCTTCGGATTGGAGTTTCTGAAATGAAGCCTCTCTCAGCTGCTGATTATCACAGTCCAAGCTAAATACAGACGGCTGAGTTGAACAGGATGCAGCCTCTGTGGACAATGAAGACCCCTCCTTCCTCCCACGGATTCCTTCATATCTCCTTTCCTTCACTGCTCCTGCGCCCTGCCATCCAGCACCAGCACGCTCAGAGGAAGCAGACAGGTGGGATTCTCTCAATAGCAGCAATGGCCTTATGGGACAAGACCAAGCCAGGATCTGAGGGCCCCTGAACATCCTATTAAAGGAAACAGAAACGTACAAAGGCAGTTTTAAAAAGCATCGGTCAGTGAAACCCACTGCGCTCATCGGCCAATTGCATCAGCATGTGAAGTTCACTTGGTTTCACACTTGAACCCCCCCACCCCCCCCCACCCTGAAGAGGCGTGCTTGTTGTTCCCCTTGTTCTTGCACCATAAAAGAAATAAAGTTTCTAATGTATTTAAGCAGGTTTAGCAGATTCAGGCTGCAGAAGTCCATGGAAAGACAGACATTCTCTCGTGATGTAGTGATACTCTGAATTCCATCTGCAAGGTTAAACAACTCCCAGAACATAATGGCATTTCATGCCTTGTCAAGATATCGAAATAACTCACGCTGTTTGTTATTTTATTTAGATCGTATTGATAGATTGTTGTTTCAAACAAAACGGAACTCATTACTATTCTTTGGTACAGGAGGGTTTGCGATACTCAGACTATGGGTCTGCATTGTGGCAACTGCATGCCTATAACTATTTGTGTGTGATCGTCAATGATGGGTTTGTGAAAATTCTTAAGCTGTTTCTTTCTCAAATATTGAGTTAACATTTCAGGTTGTTTATATTTTTATAATTAATAATTTTTGGACGGTGTGAGGATGAGATAACTGTTCGATTTTCTATTCGATTGTATAGGTCTGGTCCCTACTTTTTAGCTCCTTACTGTACTATTCACGTATTAGAACCGAATTCAGTACTTTTTGTTTAATCCTTCTAACTCAACACCTTCGCGCTGAGAGAGCTTTGTTAGCAGTTGGATTGATCTTCCCCCACTATGTTGGACAAATACAAAAGGAATTATTTTCTATATTTATTGTCTATTTCTAGTTGTATAAATAAAATTTATGGTCGGAGTAATGTGTTTGGTGTTTCATCCATTAGGTACAATAAATATGGATCTAAGAGCAGCGTCAATTTGCGTGGGCATCTGGGCGACTGGGCAAGGTACATGAGATATTAATGCAGCGGTGTGGGTGATCTGACGGGAGCCTTTCGCGAATTAAGCGACGGCAAATGGGCAGCTGGGTCTATCAGAACGGGAGCGAGCATGGTAGATTTTTGTGTTCAGCAGTGGGTGGTGGAGGTAGCAGTAAGCTAGTCTGTCTGTTGGTCGGACCACACCAGGTCAAAACCGGCCCCTTCACGGTGTCCCATGTGTGAGCATCAATGGAGCCCGGCCCCCCAACGTCTTGAACGGCTGTCTCCTGTGTCTTTTTTCCTTGGCCAACGTGGGCTCTTCCTCTGTAGAACGTTCTACCCAACAAACCACTAATAATCTCTGGACATCGGCAGGACTTTTATCCCCTTTTGATTCCCCTGAGCTAGGACCGGGTGAAACGACCCCACCCAAGAACAGAAGGCTATTGAGAGTATGCTTCGCCCAGTCGTACCAGCATACGCTCCAATTTGGCCCTATGTCCATGAGTCACAGGAGTTCACTCTGGGACGGCCTTGCCCTTATCTTCTTGTTCTATATACTGACACTTCCCTAATTTCATGCTTTATTAGAATAACGCATCACGTTGTACTGGAAGAGACTTACTTCAGAATCGTTCACAGTTACCTCGTCTTGACTACTACCCTCCCCGATCTGTGTTTAGTTGTTCACGCTCAGATGCTTCTTAAATGTTCTGAGATGTAGTTTCCATACCACCTGCGTGCTAACAGTAGAGATGCCTCCCATTAGTGGAATTTAGCCAGGGGAACTTTACTCAAATATATATGATTGTGGAGAAAATCGATTACATTTGATATACATATCATCATTAATTTTTACTTGTACCGTCTGAACTGTCTGACAATAACCCCACATCTGTCTCACCGCATCATCGAACTACACGGATGGGCAGTGTGGCCATCGTGTATTCTTTCTTGCTGAGTCTGGTCCGGGGATGCATCTATGTCAGCACGTGCCAGCTCACGCTGTGTGGTTCCAGTTTTACTCAGGCATACGGTCGCGGGCGGTCAGGAGCTACGGGAAACACTGGGAGGGCAGCGGGTTTAAAAATTCAGGGGAGTGCGATGTCTCGTGAGAAAGCTGTAATAACAGCAGGGTGGCCACTAGACTGGGGCCACAGGCCAGAGTGGGGGTGGTCGCTTCAGGTTGGCTCCGCCAGCTAGCAAGCGCACAAAGGTGCGCTTGCTGAGCAAGACGACGGGCAGAGGCGCTCATAATAAACTTGAGTCCGACAGGGACACGAGCAAGATGAAGACTAGTGCCAGGAATAGAGGACCTGGATTGCCCATAAGTGCCCTTGTTGCAATAGAAGCAGTTTACAACTACGGATGACATTAACTGCAAAGACCAGCCATGATGCCAGAGAGCGTTGATAGTTGGATCCGAGTTTGAGTTGCAATCCCGGGAAGGGAAGGTTCACCTATTCGCAAGAAATCATCGGGCTGTTACAAGGCGCAGGCTTATGCGGCGTAGCATTAACGTAAAGAGGGAGCGCGGCGAGAATTAAGTCGTTCCCGAGAAAAACCAGTCCAAGTAGTGCCGCCCAAGGCAGGATTGTTACACGGAAGCAGCGCGTGTAATAAAACAAGGAAGGAGAGAATGCTAGGTTTCTCAAAGAAGATGAAACTTAGCGAACGTCTCGAACTTTGAACAGTAAATCAGAGTTGTATAGACGCAAGCAACTGGATGTAATAACAGCGAGATGTTTAGGCGCGGCAGATAGCTGCGAGATACAATCGCATGAGACCCGGATGCTTTCACTTTATCTTATGTGTCTTAGTTACTTTGTTGGTGTTTACGCCTTCGTTCCAAGCCTAAGACGCTCGCAGGCCGACGGACGGAGCGAGCGAGCCAGGGCCTGCGCTGTTGTTGCAACCGCCTGCAGATAAGTGAAGAGTCCCGTCCACTGGAGGACGTGACTGAGTGATGAAGTGCAAACCAAGGTTCGACAACTAGATCCTTCAGTTTACTAAATGGGCCACTGCACACTTTCGCTCACACGCCAAAACTGCACGTTATTCGTGTGTTCCTTTGCGGACCTAAAATTCACTGTATATGAACTCAAAATTCAAGCCTTGCACGCAGCGCGTCTCTGCCAACTTGAGTAGTCCTGTGCCCCGTTAGTAGGTGGCGCCTGATAATCGACTAGTCGAAGATTGCCATCATTCCTTTGGCTAGCGGTGAAGATGTTGTCCTCATGCTTCCGGTGGCTCGAGGGCGGGTACCGCCAGTTCCATGTAATCAATCTGGGGCTCGGGCCGTCCAACACACCGGTGGGTAGAGAGGCAACACCTATTCATGGAGGTTGTTGGACCCAACGACGGCCCGGGAAAGTAGTACGCAGCCTTGAGCGATCGCCTTTGCGGACACTAGGTGCGCCTTATCTATACATTCCATCTGGTATCTCCTCTCCCACCCAGGGGTTAAACAGTGACCGCATAAAGAGAGCGTCAGGTGAGTGATCCACAAACATGTAAGCGCATTGCGAATAGACTCCCTCTCCGCCATATGACTAGGGCAGCACGGCTAGCCGTGCCCGAAGGGCAGCTGCTGTTGACTTTCAACCTTCCTTAAGGTTACAGTGTTTCACGTGAAAATATCAGTCGTGGGTAACGGTCGAAAAGAGCGCGAGTGATGTCGTGTGGCGGTGACTTCTCGATCTATCTCAAACAGAACAGAAGGTCTGGGATAGGTTGCCGAGTGCCACAAACTTCTAAACAGTCGATGGATGACGGCGTATACAAATAAGTTTAACACGACCAAGCCGACGTTTACCTACTCTGTTTGATGCTATTGGTTGCAGCTGTATGCTTGGCTACACTCGGAAGCTGCATTCTTGAGCCAATATATATGGTATACGGTCTGAACACCAGCAATCCCTAGGAAATTGATCCGTTTGTTGGTATGGAGAACCACAAACCTGTACGTAACGAATATAACGTTTTTTAACATTGTCAAGCGCAGCTCAGCTAGCTCACTAGCGCACTGCTATGGTAGCTCGTAACATTGCAAGGGTTTTTCGACAGCGATCGACGAGAGCATCTGAAAAGATAGACTGTCCAACTTAAACGAGCTAATATTGTTTGTATTGGAGGGATTGAAGCTAACGTGGAACTCCGTTCTACGGATCCATTTAACAGCTTTGAGAACAGGTAACAGGCCTCAAAGTATCACAGTGAGGATCTGTACGTTGGTAATAGCTCAGATCAAGCCGGTTTTAACGACCCGACCTACTGACCGGGCATGCTCGCCAGTTTCACTCCAGACTTAGTAATCACGC